GGCGCACGACCCTCAGGTTTCCCCAACTAAACCCCTTCTCCACTTCCTCCTCCCTGCTGGGCCACCAGCAGCCTGTGAGAGGCCCCTAAGGGTCAGGGCTTCCACCGCTCCTGCTTCCCCGCGACCACCGCTGCAGCTCCCCGCCCCAGGCTACAGATACCAGGCCCGCCCCCGCCCAATCCCCGCCGTCCCTCGGGGTGTTCCACATCCTCAGTACCGATGATGCTCCCACCCCTTGCTGAGCGGCCCGCGACGCCACCCTCAGCCTGTGGCCCTATCCAAGACCTAGCCCTCACCTACCATTCCAAGTTCAGACCTTCCTCCCTCCCTTGCTTCCCCGTCCCTCCTTCCATAAATATTCGAAGCAAGCTTGTTCATCCATCCTTTCCACCAAGCCCTTCCACGGAGCCCTGAGCGTCCAGGCCTCCCTTGGATTCTGGTGCTGAACATTGAAGAACGACACGGAGACTCTGTGCGCTGCGTGCTGTTCAGAGGGCACGCCCAGAATCCACCCACTCAACCCAACGCCCTAAGGTAAGAACACTGGCATCACTAGGGTGGGCGACAGGCTCTACCCCCACGGACCACCTCTGGCTCCAGACCATGTTACTATCGTGGTTAGAAGCCGGCTGGTCAGCTCCCACGCGTCAGGACCCTGTGCATATCCCAATGAAAGACTGCCCAGTCCTGTGCTGTCCTGGCCATCGTGATAGGTTTGAGCCCATTGTTGCAGCCACTGTGTCAACCCCGCTCCTTGATGGTCTTCCCCTTTTCACGGACCCCTGGCTTTACAGCTACAGACCTTTACTCTTGTCATTGGTGGTGGTGGTGGTGAGGGGCACAGATGGGCTCCCACCATAGCGAAACTGTGCGCAACAAAATGAAATCCTGCCCAGGCACATGCCGTCCCCACATTGGTTCTTAAGCTTGAGCAACTATGTCAATCCATCCTGGTGAGAGCCTTCTTTTTTCACTGCCCCTCTGCTTCACCAAGCATGATGGCCTTTTCCAGGGACTGCTCCTTCCCGATAACATGTCTGAAGTACGTTAGACAAAGTTTTGGCATCTTTGCCTCCAAGGAGAACTCTGGCCATACTCCTTGAAGCCAGAGCTGTTCTTTTGTCTACCCATGGTGTGTTCAGCATTCGCCGCTGGCACCACCATTCAAACACATCCACTCATCTTTCATCTTATTGTTCAGCACAGTTGAGTCAGCTGACTCGCACGACCCCACGTAAACCAGAACTAAGGCGCCCTGCTCCGTGCTCTCCACTGTGCAGCTGAGCCCATCGCTGCAATCTCTGTGTCAGTCTATCTCGTTGAGGGCCTTGCTCTGCGTCGCTGCCCTTTTACTCTACCGAGCATGATACCCTTCTCCAGGGTCTGCTCTCTCCCCGTAATACGTCCAAAGCACATCAGACAAAGTCCCACCACACTTGCTTCTAAGGAGCATTCTGACTATACTTCCTCCAGTACAGACCCACCAGTCCTTCTGGTTTAAAGAAAACAAACTCACTGCCATCAAGTCGATTACGACTCGTAGTGACCCTATAGGACAAGGGAGAACTGCTCTTGTGGATTTCCAGGAATGTAACTCTTGATGGAGTAGAATCTTCATCTTCCTCCCAAGGAGGTTTCAAACTGCTGACCTGTAGGCTAGCAGCCCAGAGCATAACCACTAGTCCCAGTTCTTCTGGCAGTCCATAGTAGTTCCAACATTCTTGTCTTCCTATTCATTGTGCAACTTTCACAAGCTACTGAAAATACTGTGGCTTGGGTCAGGAGACTGATGATCAGTTTTAATCATGAATGTGATGGCTACAGTTTTAAATCACTTAATGTCGGAACACTTTTTAGATTAGACAAATGTTGTTGCCACGAAACCCTACCTGGTGTTATGCCATCCTGATAGACAGTCCTGTGTTTGAGCCGACTGTCCCAACCACTGTGTCAGTCCGTGACATTCAGAGTCCTCCTCTCCTTCCTTGACCCTTTTACTTTACCAAGCACGATATCCTTCCCCAGGGACTAACCCCTCCTGAGAACATATCCCAAGTACATGAGACACAAAGAGAAAAGGCCTAGAGAAAAAGATGAATAATCCAATTAAAAGGTGGGCAAAGGACACGAACGGCTCGCCAAAGACGACATCCACATGTCCAGCAGACATGAAGAAAAGTTCACCACCACCAGCCTCTGGGAGATGCTGATCAAAATGACAGTGCGATACCTGCCACCTTGCACCAGCAGTGGCAGCCACGTTCATAAAAGAAGGAAAATAGTACATTGCGGAGAGACTGCAGAGAGACTGGAACCCTCACACACTGCTTGTGGGACTGGCATGAGTACAAGCACTGGGATAGGAATTCTGTCCCATCCAGAAATCCCTCTGCTGAATATATACCCTACAGAAGGAGAAGCCAGACGATAAGCAAGCATCAGCAAAGCCACTGTTCACAATCGCAAGAAGATGGGAACAACCCTAAATACCCATCAGTTGCCATCAGGTGTTAGACCTCAAAGAAACCTCCTTGGTTTTCTATCCTTTAAAGAGGTCTTCACAGCAAATTGGCCCAATGCACAACATGATTTAGTCTCGTGACTGCTGCTTCCATGAGCATTGACCGTGGATCCAGCAACACAACATCCTTGATCTTTTCTCCCTTTATCATGATGCTACCTGTTGGTCTGGTTGTGAGCATTTTTGTTTTCATAAGACTGAGTCGCCATCCATATTGAAGGCTGCACTCTGTGATCTTCATCAGCAAGGGCTTCAAGTCCTCCTCACTTACAGCAAGCAAATTGTCATCTGCATGTCATAGGTTGTTAATAAGCCTTCCTCCCACCCTGAGGCCACATACTTCTTCATATAATCCAGCTTTTCTGGTGGTCTGTTTGCTCAGCATACAGACTGAGTAAGTATGGTGAGAGTATGAAACCCTTTTCTGACTTTGAACCACACAGTATCCCCTTCTTCTGTTCGCACAAACTGCCTCTTGAACCCCTGTGCAGGTGCTGCATGAGCACAATTATGCATTTGGGGGTTCTCATTCTTCGCAAGGCTATCCATAGTTTGTCAGGATCCACACAGTGGAAGGCCTTCTCATGGTCAAAAAACACAAACATCTTTCTGGACTGCTCTGCTTTTAGACAGGATGTCAGCAACCGTTGCTGAATGGTCTTCAGCAAAATGTTGCTTGCATGTGACATCAATAATATTGTTCTGTAATTTGTGCATTCTATTGGGCCACCTTTCTGTGGAATGGGTACAGATAGGAATCTCCTTCCATCATTTGGCCAAGTAGCTTTCTTCTCAATTTCTTGGCATAGAAGAGCGAGTGCTTCCAGT